CTCAGACAGTCATCGATTGTATATAGCCCTCTTCTGGAAAATTGAATGAGTTACTATTAATACGTACAGGGAAGCAAAAGAATCATTTTATTGTTGTGTAATTATTGTAATTATTGTTGTTGTTGTTATTGTATTGTAATTATTGTGTAATACACGTTATTATTCGTCCAGCTAGAACCCCTAAATCTGCTTTTCATGATGCTTCGGAATAATAATTTGAAAGTAAGTTTTTTCTAAGTGCTCCAGTATCATTAGCTTAGGTTTAAAACGTGAACATAGGATCATAATAATATAGAGATATACTTTACCTTTAGATCCCGAGCCAATTTGGCAAATTTTCGAAATACGGTGTTGGCCAAATTTTCCATTTCAGCGGTCTGTAGTTCGGAAAATTGGCCCGTCTTCCATGTGGACCAATTATTCTCCCATTCAAAGTTCATGGACCAAATCAAATCCAAGTACTCCAAGTCCTGTGGTTTAAGTAATAGGACGGAAGTGGGCATGATCTCGCCACTGATATTTATACAACATGTACAATTATTGTTTATCCCATACAGAGTTTGTAATGTCAGTTTTGCATCTGATAACCGATTGGCCATTAGGGTTAGATGCGCTTCAGGGAGATCGCGAATCAATATATGGTGTTGCCAATTTGATAGGTTTTCGGTACAAACGGAAGTTGAGTACATTGTCAATCAGTTCTAAACAAAAACTTATTCAGTTTCAGCTTTTACAACGATTAACCCTGCACTTTCGTGCTCCGGTTTTGGTTGCTCTCTTTTGGTGCCATATTTGGATAAAAAAGCAGAATGAAGATTGGAATGTTGAGAGTAGATTCAAGCGGAAGATGGAGAATTCATATAGAATAGTGATAGGAGAATAATGAGTGGATCCACGAATGCCACTGTTTGCGACACCCAGCCATATCAATCAGTGTCTCTAACCATTGGTGACCATCATCTCGGGGTCACGAGCCAGAGAGTCTAACGGGACTTATGTGAGCTGGTCTTCTGGTCGGGGTTTTTATATCCTCATGCCAAGTCTTTGTTTGACCACCATTGACCTTTTTCCAACTACGCCATGCTTCGGTAAACATCGCTTGCCGTGGCAAACTATCTGGTGACATGCGGTAACCCATCCCAAGCAGCGTAATCTATGGAGGTCGACTACTTGCTCCGGTGAACGACCGCGGATGCTTAAAACCCTACGCCTAACCTCAGCATTGATAGTCCGGTTACCTCGCCGGACTCGTGCACTGCGACGTAGATAGCGGTATTCGAACACCGACAGTCTATTTTTATCCTGTTCCCGTAGAGGCCAAGTCTCTGCACTGTAAAGCAGCACTGGCCGAACTACTGCAGCATATACTCGACCCTTCACAGACAGCCGGATGTCGCGACGGAGCCATAAATGTCTCAAGTTGGCAAATGCCAATCGAGCGTTCTGCATCCCAGCTGATACTTCATCTGTGAAGCGTCCGCCAGGTGAGATATAGCTGCCCAGATAGCAAAATTTGTCTACTTCCCCTCTTACTTCCCAGTGAGAGTGAGGCTGGGTGCTGGACCAACCCAATCTTGTAGTAACACTTTACACTTTCAAGGTGCAAAACGCATACCGAACGTGGCTACACTAACATTGAAACTATCCAGAAATGCTTGAAACTTACATGAATCTTTACTTCGTACAAAGATGGGGAAGACGGGCAGCGCTGGAGCGGTTCGAACCCGGGACGCGTGGAACTGCTAGTGTTATGATCTGTGGAGAGGGCGGTACTTCAACACGCGGATCAACGACCGAAATTCCGTGATTGTACGGTTTTTTATTAATTAACGGTCCCTCTCAACTCATTATATACTTGAGCGCTACCTTATGCCATCAGTGGCTTCGAATGGTCATCCTGAAGACATTTTCCAGCATGATAGTGCCATAGTTCATAACTAGTATCTAAAAATGCCGGTTCATGACATCAAAACA